CACACACCATACGACTAATTCCGGTTCCACACCAACGAATGCTCTTCATAGGCGCTCGGTGGGAAACGGCAGCTATCTTCAAAGAAACGGGCTGCGGCTTCAGGCGATGCTTGGTTGACACGGTCAGGAGGGTGGAAAAATTCCCTGGTAAAAGGGTGAAATCCCAAGGAGGACTCTCCCTGCAAAACTTCCAGGGGGTTGAACAGCGGCGCATACCCCGCCTCCCAGCTAACTCGGGGTGGTATCGGTTTCTTGCCGTTGAACTTCAGCACGGGCGCCTCCTGAGCAGTCGAGGGTGCCCACGTCCAGTCGGCTGGTGGTGTGAGGGAGGGTGACACACCAACATCCCCACACCCCAGCCAGAAACACCTGTTACGATACACCCAACCGCAACTAATGGCCTCAATGCGAACAGGGGGGTGTCCCAACCAGTGGGTATACTGCTCCTGAACCTCTCTCGGCATGCTCCCAACGTTCTCGAGGAAGGTGATGATGGGGATGTCCTGGGCACAGGGCAATGATTGGAACTCGTCTCGAATGCGGCACAGCTCGAAGGGCTGGTGAGAGCGGGGGTCTCCCATGCCCTTCCGGCGGGTGTTTAGGCTGGAGTTCCCTTGACACGGAGAACCTCCTCCTATGATAATAGCCCGCGGCTTACGCCGCTCCAAGAACTCCACGAAATCACTGGCCCGCACCTTGGCCACGTCCTCGACATGCACGATGTTCGGCATCAAGCTGGCGCATGCCTGCCTGGCATCGGCATCACACTCAGCAGCCAGGGCATAAAAGGTGGTCCCCATGCACAACAGAGCAATGGGCAGCCCCCCCATGCCACTCCACAAATCTATTACCAAAAATGGCCCCTTAGGAACAATAACCCAGGGGCACTGCAAAAGATCCCCTTTGCCCCGCCAGCTCACAGGCTTCGCAGCATAGAGCCTTTTCGAGACTGGGGATGAATCTCCCTCTTGGAGATGGACCTGGCGATGTCCCTGAGAGTCGCCCACCACTGCCGGCTGCTGGCGCTGCATGGCCACGGGACGTGGCTGCTCCTGCACAGAGTGAGCAGCCACTGGCTGTGAGTCTACGGCATCTGGTGGGGCCCCCATAATGTGGGGGCCTGGCCATCACTCGGCAGGGTGGGCCAGCCGATTGTGTTTGGTGCTCAAACATGGCTTGCCAGATGCTAACTTCACGTCACATCCATGAATATCATCGCAGCCGGAACAGCCGCGCCCGTCGTTGTACTTCTTACAAAGGCGCCGACCGCCCTTCACCATGCTAATTGTCTGAAACTTGTCAGCTTTCACCTGGCGGGGCCGCTTGGGCTCAGCTGGAGGCACCGTGGGCTCTGCAGGCCGTTTGAGCTTGTTGGTGTCCGGGGTCAGCTGCATCGAAGGGGCCCTCCACTCCAGGTGGGTCTGCTGGAGAGCATCCTTCAGGGCTTTCCCCGCCGTCCATCCTCGGCGGATACCACTCGCCATCTTGCCCCTGGTCAACAAATCGTTCCGGTTCAACCAAAGCAATGAGCCGCCACCAAACTCCATGCAGGAGCGCAGGGCCTCATCTGCGTAGTGCGTCGCCTCGGAGATCGAGATGAAGAGGCGTTCTTCGCCATCCGGGTCCTTGGCACGGAAATTCCCTGCCCAGGCCCATGCATAAGCCAACGTACGCAGGGACCAGTAGTACTGGACAGCAGAGGTGATGTCCACCGGGGAGTCCTTGTCGAACTCCAACTTGATGCCCCCAGGAAGTGCCACACTTTCCTGGAGGCGGGGGCCAGCCTGTTCAAGGACTGACTTGATCCTCCTGGCTTCAATCACCGTCATGGTCTGCTTCTTGAATTCCCTGTATACACGCGACCTCAAAGTGTCGCTGGGTTCCAGCGCGGCATCAACCTCAGTGTTGTAGCGGTTGCGGAAGTCCTTGGACAAGGTGGCCATAGTGGACTCCGGCAAGAGCTCGTCAAGCTCGTTGGTACCTTTGGCAGGCAACTGGCTGGCCTGTTTCACAGCCTGCATGCCTGCTTCATATGCAGCTCGAAACCTTGCCAGGACAATGGGCTTGTTCTTCAGCGCAGGGATAGCTTCCACCAGGTCTTTGATGCCATGCTCGGCCCCCTCCTTCGGGATAAGGAAGACGTAGTCCTCCAGCGTCTCAATCCCATGATGGCGGAGGAAAGGCTCAGTCCACTCCGGCAAGAGGTTGGCTGCAGCCAGGCATGTGGCGAGGCCACGGTCCTCTTGCAACACATCGATCCTGGCTGCAGTAGCCATGGCTAACCACCGCCGTCTGCAGACAGGCGAGGGGGGCTTGGGCACAAAAACTGGTAGGCCCGCGGCCAGAGTGGCACCTTCGCATGCCAAAACTCCCCAAATCAGTGGAGGCGGAAATAGAAGGTGAACTCAGGCAGACCATATCATTATGGAATATAGTGGTACTGACATTATGGGGGACCGGCCTACTGGATTAGGGTAAGAGAAAAGGGGCTAAGAAAATC